AAACTAAATTTCAATGATTTAATTATTACTAAAATGTAAAGTTTAAAATCAGAAATTTTTTAAAGTACAAATATAATGTGCATGCAGTAGAGAACTCATTTATTGAACAATAATGTGGTTTGAGCATGGCAGTATGTGCATGTGTACTATAATTTAAAATATTAATATTCTGTATGCAGTTGAAGTATATTGTCATCGTACTATATAAAACCTCTGTATATTTAAATTAATTTTAGTAAATTTGTAATAACATTATACATTTTAAATTGTCAAGTTATCTGTCACATGTGCATACCATGTAAATTGTTACAAGTTGCATTTTATGTGAATTTTAGTTTCTAGTTGCCAAAAATAAGTTTATTTTAATATTCAATTTGTTTTAATTTGCATAATATTTTTTCTAATTTATTTATGAATATATTATCAGTTGCACAATATTCATTCTTATACTGTAGACTGTGTCCTTATATATATATGTATGTACTTGGTACAACATTAAATATCTGTAATAAATCTTACACACTAAAAAAATACGTGCACAGGTACCTGAAAAATGTATTTCCAAAAGTAGAGGAAACTATGTTACTTGATATTTTGGAACAAAGTGATAACAATGTTCAGAAAGCTTCTGAAAAATTGATTGATTTGGGTTATGAAAAACGAAATCCAACTGCTCCTAAATCACTGATAAAAAGAAAAGAGGAGGAACGAGTAATATATTAAATTATTTTATATATTTACTCAATATCCGTTATTTAAAAAATAACTAACAATTAATTTTTGCAGATAAAGAATGAACAACAAACTGCACCTACCCCTCCACCACGTATGAAAAGCTTAGAAGAAAAAAATAAAAGTAAAAAGGTTTAGTTGGCAAGTTTTTTAAAATATTAATATCAATGTTTTAATTTTTAAACTGTAATTTATCAGTGAAAGTGCGTTTAATGGAAAAGTATAAGTCAGTGCCAGAAAGAGTAATAATGCTTGCTATGGATAGTGTTGATTATGATGAAGAAAAAGCAATACATATACTAAACATCATGGTTACAGAAGAAGCTACAAGACCATTATGTACATCAAGCAGTCAAAGGTATTATATTTTTAAATAGAGAAACTAGCTTCTTTTGTTTGTGTAATAGTGATTCCAGAAAAATTGTATATTATGGAAATATAAGGTCCTACCATATAACTAATATAGAACATTTGCAGCAGTAGAAGTGATGAAAGAAAAGATAGTCCACCAGTAACTGAAGCTGTAAAATTAACTGCCTCACCAATTAAAAAAATAGTTAAGGATGCAGATTCGGAAAAATCTAAACGATCTAAAAATAAAATAGAGATACCAAAGTAAGATAAAATTTTGTTATGCTTCATCATGGTTATATTTTTCGCATTTAAAGAAATAAAAATTATAGTATTCACTAATATTTTTAGAGTTTCTCGAGGAACTAGTACTACAGAAGACAATGAGTATAAGTCTCCATATTTAACAAAACCTGTTGGACCAAATCCTGATTTACCAAAAGGAGCCAATAATGATTTACTTTTGTAAGATAAATTTTGTTTCTTAACTTATTTGTAACGGCAATTGTCATACATATGTTATACTTATCTGAGATGTTGAAATAGTACATTGTATAGTAAGGTAATATGTATATATAATATTTACTTGTTATAATTTATGTGATTGTAGCAAATAGAGGTTTCTAAATTTACTTAAGAATTTCACGAAATTATACGTGAAAGAGGTTAGTAAGGTTTTGACATACTAGTATGTTATTTTTTAAAATGACCAGTAAAGTTTTGATATAACAGTACGTCGTCGCTAAAAACGATCAGTAAGTCTTTGTCGCACTCTTGTTATCCGTTGCAAATGGGTTAATAAATTGAATTTGTTTACTGTACAACTATAATGAATAATAATTAGAATTATTGTTATTACGAATTTTTCAGACCTGATTATGCACCATGGTCAGGACCTGATCCAAATTTGTTGACTAAAGAGATATACAGCAAAACAATAGCAAATGGACATGATATAAATTTGCTTTCTGGAAATCGTTGTGTTGCTAAGGAACCTAATTCAGAATTAAGGAAAGGTCCACAGAGGGAATTAACTCGAGGATCTATTTATTCGCAAAGAAATGTTTCTAATATGGAAAGTCGTGGTAAATGAAACATGTGTAACTGTTTTTTTGTCAATTTCTATGTTTGTTAATAAGGAAACTTGTTTTAATTTTATGTAAAATATATTTTCTCTTATTTAATTTTTTTATATAAATTACGCAATGTTTTAGTTACAAATAAGTAATTGAATATTAGTAAATTCATTTTTATAAACATTAATTTTTTATATGTTAAATGAGAGCTTCCAAAAATAACATCAGTTTAAATAAATGATTATTGTTAGATTCTATATTATATTCGTTATATGTTTGAAGTTATATTGATAAATATTTGTTTGTTTTGTTACAAGTTAATGATTTTTCTGTTTATTAGAAGAGATTACTCTCAATATAAACGATAAATTCGGTAAAATGTCTACAATGTAGCAAGCAAGATATAATAATGACAGAATGTGCAAAGAAGTGTTCAAATTTACGTACATATACATACTTTAAATGATTTAAAAAAATATATCATTATTATATTCTAGTATGCATTATCAATTTGAAAAAATCATAATGCTTCCATTTATGACATATCTTGTCATTTTTAATGTGTACATAAATATGACCAAATTTCTAAATATTCACAAAATGATTTAAAAAAGTTTTGATTATTTATTAAATATTCTTGACGTCGTATTTGGACATGACAAACTTCTTTGCAAATGTGAATGAAGTTTCTAATTATTTTAATTCAAGTGCAACATTAATATGTGTAATAGTAGTAATGATCTATTCTATGATCAAATATTTTATAGTATTAATTACATTTTAACTATCTGTGGTACAGTATCTCTGTTTTATTTAAGAAAATGAAGTGTTGAAATATTTAAACCTTGAATACAAAGTTAAAATATTTCATTATATAGTTTGTATCAGTGGTTTTTTATGATAATATAATTTACAGATATTTTAAAATGTTCAACATTTTAATGTTTTACGAATTATATTACCGTACACTTTTATTAAAGTTGTATTATTATATTTATGTGTATAGTGCAAGGTATAAAAGGAATTCTTGAGTTTGTCTAAAAAGTGTTAACTGTAAGATTTATAATCAAAATCATAAATCTACAGCCAATATATTCAGTATTATCAAATATCTGGAAGTAATATAAGGTGTGAAGAAATTTAATTATGTGACAAACATTTGGAAAGTTATTAGTTTTGTAAACTATATACATTTTAAATCGTATTAACAATTGAAAACGATATGAAATACAAATTTGCATATCCATGATGCAAACTCCCTGGTAATTATTACATACAATATAGGCCATAACCAAAATAGGGTTTCTAATGATAAACTAAACAAGAAAAAACTTTATATGTGCTATAGTTAAATGAATGTACAGAAGTATTTTCATAGCTTAATTCAGAATAATCCTGCCTTTGAGAAAATCTAATATGTGAATAAAAATTAATAACAGATGGGCTGTGGCTGAAACATTAGTTGAGAGCTATTTTTATAGCTTTTTGACTTGTGAAGAAACTAGGAGGGATAAAATAATCTATTTTGACTATATTTTGAGTATTGCCACGTAAACAGAAGAGTAACATTAAATGAAATAAATGAATTCTTCAATTAGCTAATTATTGTAATTTCATATTTCTGTGTGAAACACATTTTGTCAAATATAATGACTTAAATATCATATTCCGTGTAAGGTATATAGTAATTCAGAGTTTGTATATGGGATGTATTGCTGTGGTGTGACTATTAGTCAATATGAAAATGCCAAATTTGTTTCTATCAAAACTCTTCCATCCAAAAAATTCATTTTTTAAGATACTAGTTTATGAAACATAATATGAAGGAAAAGTGTTTCTATTATTCTTTTTAAGTTACATAGATATGAATTAGATGTTATAGGAGGTTGTATGCAATAAATGTTAGTAAAATTGTGCTATCACTAAAATAATAAATGTATTTTATCATATGGGATTTGTTGATCTACTATGGGTTTTTTGTTATATTATATAACATAAGATATTTGCTATATATTCAAACAATAATGTTAATATTAACGGAGTTACCCTATTTCACAATTAAGATTTCAAGTTCCAAGCGATTTTTCTCATATACACGCTATTTTATTTGCAGAAACAAAACTATTTTTAACAGATTTTATGCAATGTGAATACATAAAAAATCTATATATTTAGATATTCTCAGAATTATTTTGTGTTTAATATAGTCTTGTAACAATGTCAAAAATCATATTCACCCTTATTCAAGGGTCATACTTAGATCTAAGAATTTCGTCCTAGATATTTTAAACTAAACAATTAATAAACTTTAAAATGAATTAAAACAATCCATAACTAGCAATATAAATATGATATAATGCAGATGGTGTATGCTGAATATCACAGAATGCAAAAATTGTATTTCATTGTATTTACACATATCTGTACAATAAAGGTATCCGTAATCTATTCTTCTTGTGCAGTAATTTATTGACAGAGCTTTATAACTTATATAACCATTTTTTGATATACATAATAACAAAGTACATATTATTTTTCTATTATATCATTCTATAAAATATTAAGTACTGACATACATCATATAATCACTAAATAGTCTACGATGATAAACAATTAAATTTGATTTACTTAATGCATTATTTATTTTAACTGCTATGTAATTAACTTTTAATTATTCATTTTATAGTATATCATATTTTGTATTAATTATAATAAAAGTATAAAACCAAATTGTATATAACATAAAAAGGAATAAACACTTTATGTACAACATATAAATATCTACTACTTGTAAGAAAGAAATACATATAGCATTTAATTTGTTTACTGTAATATCAGAACTTAAACTTCATCCTCATTTAAGAGCATATTTGGTATACCATCATTAATAGGGAATTTTCTACCAGATTCTGGGCATAATAGATCTCCATTAATAACTTCAACTTCAAGTAAAACATGATGAACCTTTTTTAAAAATTCTTCATTTGTTTCAAAATCTTGAATCAAAGTTTGTGGCAATTCTCCAACATGTCCTATCTGTATTAACAGTTATATTATTAGTGTTTGTTCTTTAATGTCAAAAAAATGTTCTATGTACAAAATAAAGAGTAACTGCTATATCCTAGACAAGATGTAGATAAAAAAACATTCCATTTTATGAAAGAAAATATAAAGTTAAATGTACTTCAATTTTCATCTAAAACAATCTTATGCAAAGTTCAAGAGAAGTTTATAAATTTATGGCCACATTTTGTAGGACAGCTTGTATATTAATCTCAAATTTCAACCTTCATCATATGGATCTAAGAAAAACATTAAAAATATTTTTATTTTCACATGTGCTTGTTGAAAAACTGAACAAAAAATAAATTACTTTAAACTCAATATATTGTTTTACTTTCCTATATATGAGATTTAACATGATGTCCAATATGATAAAGGTTATAACAATAAATATGTTATATATAAATATATTACTTTAAATAGAATTTGTAAATTGACTGCACAAAATTATCTTTTTTATTTTATGCACATTTAAATAATTGTGATAGTTAAGTTTAAGGAAAATAATAAATAACTTACACTTTCTGCAGCTTTCCAAAGTGTAGCCCAATCAAGTTTTGGAATTATCCTTGCAATAAATTCTGAATTAAAATCTACCTCTGACACTTTAATATCCTTTGCCTACAAGATAATATAGAACGCCCTTTTTGTTACTAATAGAATTATTTAATCAAATTCACTCTTTGTATTTATAAATTAAATCATTTAACATAATGATGCTTTACATGAATAAGTCAAAATTAAAAAGAAATCAAATCAATGTGTACCGAAATTAACCTCAAAACTTAATAAATGTAAAACTTACAACAATTCCTAGAGGATATCCAACAGTTACACCTTTCAAGCATTTTGAAGTCAACATATTATGCGTTAAAAGTTTCATTTTTCTTCTTAATATTATCCGAATATATTGTTAATTGAAACAATTTGAAAAAAATTATAATTTCGTTTGTCGAGATCTTGTGTTACGTGTGCATGGCACGCTATTCTTGATGCCGGCTTTTACTAACTTCTGCGTGCCTGAAATTTGAGACACAATTTAACGCGATTACATTTTATCATAAAGATAATTTAATAATT